TTCTTGATCTGTCCCCAAGTTGGGGTGGGAGAATCTAGAGTTTTTTTACTTACTTTATTTCTAATCTTTACTTTTTGTGGTAGTGGGGATTTTTCCCTCTCATTGTCGGAAACATTCATTTTTGCAAGACCTTGTGTAGTTTGTTCCAGATCCTCAAGGTCAGGACCTCTTCCTTCCCCTTTTTGACGTCTGGGGGGAAAAGCTGGCGAGAAGGTCATCACTGGGGGAAGTTTTCTTTTTCTCGTAATAGGGCTACGAGATGGTGGTATCATTGGTGTCCGAGGTAATTTTATTGTTGACATGGCGAATCAACCTGTCAGGGATCCAAATCGGGGAGTCTGCATTTTGGGGAAAAATACAAGCAAATCCACGGCCACATGTTAACAATGGATCGGGTCCCTTCCATTGTCCCGAAAGGACGTCTTTCCAGCGTACAAGAGGTTTCGTCGCTTGCCCTTCCGGGTTCCAATGCCGGAACATATTAGTTAAGCCTGTCTGATTAGTATTTAAATTATTGAGGACAAAGAGGGCATGCTGTAATATATGGTGAGGAGAACTATGCTTATATTCTCCTTCTTGTAATTTGAGCAACTGGTTTTTTAAAGTTTGATGTGCTCTCTCTACGATAGCTTGGCCTTGAGGGTTATAAGGAATTCCTGTACTATGAGAAATGTTGAATTTTTCACAAAAATCTCGAAAAGCCTTGGAAGTGTACACAGGAGCATTATCTGTTTTTAGAGCTTTAGGAATTCCCAAGTAAGAGAAGCAAAGAAATAGGTGTTGTTGAACATCTTTAAAAGCCTCTCCGGTTCTAGCTGAGGCAATTATAACATGGGAAAAGGTATCAACTGTAACATGTACAAAAGACAGTTTCCCAAAAGGCTGAAAGTGAGTTACATCCATTTGCCATAAATCATTAGGCAGCAATCCTCGAGGATTGACGCCCATAGGTTGACAAGATTGTGTAATAGGACAAGCAGTACAGGTACGAACTATTTCTCTAGCTGCTTCTCTAGTAATATGAAATTGATGTCTAAGTGCAGCTGCGTTTTGATGATGTAAAGCATGAGACTGAGTTGCTGACTCAACCGCCGAGAGACCTATAATTCTAGTCAATGCATCTACTTTATCATTAAGTGTATGGAGAGGTCCCGGGAGTTTAGAGTGTGCCCGAATGTGTCCTATAAAAAAGGGAAGGCTTCTATTCCAAATTTCCTTTTGCAAGGCTGACAAGAGTTGAAAAACAGTGGTTTTATGCTCAGGAAGCACAGCAGTTTCAATATGAGGAAAGAGCTTAACCACATACTGTGAGTCTGAGTACAAATTAAAAGAAATGTCATGATACTTTTGAAAAACGGTGAGAACTGCCTTTAATTCTGTTTGTTGAGCTGAAGTAAAATCTGTTTTTATAATTTGTTCTTCTGTTTGAGTAAGAATAGCGGCTCTGCCATTAGAGGATCCATCAGTAAAGATTAACAATGCCCCTGCAATGGGCTGAACAGCAGTTAATTTTGGGAAGATTACAGGATGAGTCTTGAGAAAATGTAAGAGGGGATCAGCAGGTAAATGAAATTTTACTTCCCCTGTAAAACCAATTAGGGAAATTTGCCAAGTTTCATCAAATTGCAGAAGTGCATCTAGCTGTTCTTTATTATAAGGAATAATAATAGCAGATGGTTCATATCCGAACAACTCAAGACTACGCCTTCTACCTTTTAAAAGAAGAGAGGCTATTAGGCTCGGATAGGCGGCTACAATCCTTTTTGCTGTAACAGGTAGATGAATCCACTCTAAACAACCATTCTGCCACAAGACTCCCGTAGGGGCTATCTGTGTCGGAAGAATGATTAGTTGCCAATCTATAGTATAATCTAATCTTTGTACCCTACTATGTATGATTGCCTGTTCCACTATCTTTAATGCCTCTTGTCCCTCAGTTGTCAGAGCTCTAGATGATGTTGGATCTGAATTTCCTTTTAGAATATCAAAAAGAGGTTTGAGTTCAGCTGTAGTTAACCGAAGGTAGGGTCGTAGCCAATTAATATCCCCCAGTAGCTGTTGAAAATCATTGAGGGTTTTTAAATGCTGTGTTCTAAGTTGAATTTTCTGAGGGGTAACATATGATGTGTGTATAACTCTACCTAGATATGTTAAAGGAGGGTTAATCTGAATTTTTTCTGGAGCAATCTTCAGCCCTTTATCCTGCAGGGTTAAAATCAACTCTTGTAAGACCTCTTGAAGAAGGGCTCTATCAGAATGAGCAATCAGAATATCATCCATATAATGAATCATATAGACTTCCGGTCGTTTCTGTCTAATAATAAAGATGGCCGCATCTACAAATTTTTGACATAAAGTTGGGCTATTTTTCATACCTTGAGGAAGAACCTTCCATTGATATCTTTGAAAAGGCCTCTTAAAATTTTCTGATGGTAGGCTAAAGGCAAAATGTTTACAATCTGCTGGGTTAAGAGGAATAGTGAAGAAACAATCTTGTAAATCTATTACAATAACATGACTGTCCTTTGGGACAGCAACAGGAGAAGGTAAACCTGGTTGTAGAGCACCCATGGCCTCCATAGTAGCATTGATAGCTCTTAGATCATGTAACAACCTCCATTTTCCTGATTTTTTCTTAATAACAAATATAGGAGTGTTCCAAGGACTGGTGGATGGTTCTATATGTCCTGCCTCAAGTTGCTCTTTAACTAATTGAGTTGCAGCTGCCAGTTTTTCCTGTGGCAGGGGCCACTGCTCTACCCAAACAGGCTCTTCTGTTTTCCATACAATTGGGTCGGCAGTTTCTACAGTGGCCCCAGTCAAAAATTCTCATAACCAATCCCATATCTATTGTTTTTATTGCTGGGGCAAATGGGTTGTATTTCTCCTGTGGAATTTTTCCCGAGCCCCTTCTCAGGGTCATAGCCCATATGTATCATTTGATTTGTAACCTTGTCATCAGGACTATATAACAAAATTCCCATCTGTGCCAAAACATCTCTTCCCCATAATGTAAAGGGTAAAGCAGGTATTACATAAGGCTGAAATGTTCCTTTATCACTCTCTGTTTCCCAATGTAGAATCTCTGCACTCTGTGCTGCAGAGGCAGCAGTACCTACTCCTACTAATGTTGACTGAGTAGATTTTGTTGGCCAGGAGCTGGGCCAATCTCTCCCTGCCATACATGAGACATCTGCACCTGTATCTAATAGCCCTGTTACTTCTTTTCCATTCACCTTTATTACTTTCATAGGCCTTCTTTGTGTAATTTTTTGAACCCAGAACACCATATCACTAGACCCAAACCCTGCATTTCCTCTTGGAGCAGTTGTTGCCACCTTTCCCATAGGATGAAACGGCAACAAAAGCAACTAAGCCACACGCTGTCCCTGATGGATTTGAAAAGTTTTTGAGGATGGCTGTATCATTACCATTATTTCTCCTGTATAGTCTGAATCTATCACACCTGGCAGTACTATTATTCCCTGTAAGGACAAAGAGCTTCTCCCCAAAATAATCCCTACCAGTCCCTCGGGCAGAGGCCCCTTTACCCCTGTCGGGATCTTAACTACTGGCATATCTGGAGTTAATATTGTTGTGGTGGTGGAACAGAGGTCCAGTCCTGTGCTTTTTGCGGTGGCTCGCATGAGTTCTGTGACGGGACGAAGGGAATAAATGGGTTCATTGTTCGTGCCCCACTTTGAATTGGGGCCTGGGGCTGGCCCCCCAGCAAGTTTCCCTGCTCTGTGTTCACTGAAGGAACATTAGCCCCGATATTAGGTGGTAGTCGGGCTCCATCCTTTCTAAATTTAGACTTGCAATCTTTTGCCCAGTGAAATCCCTTCTGACAGCGAGGGCATATAGTTTGAGGTTGACTCATAGGTGCTGCCCCAGAAGGGACAGTCCCTTCTGATGAATTATTCCCTGGTCTTCTGGAGGGGCAGTCCCTTCTAAAATGTCCTGCTTGCCCACAAGAGAAACAGCCTCCATAGTTCAGTGACTCTCTGAGCTGCATGCCACCTCCTGGCCTAACCGGTTTTGTCAGTCTCTGTAATGTTTGATCCATTGTTGTCCCCTGAAGTGCAGCAGCCATTGCTACTCCTTGTATCATTGCTGGGCCAACGTCAGCGCATGCCCTAATCATATCATCTAGAGTCCCAGTTTTTTTGAAAGGACGTAATACTCCTTGACACACAGAATTTGCATTTTCATAAGCCAATTGTCTAACCAATAGCCTAGCCGCTTCCTCGTCCACTATCACCCGATTAATGCCTTCTGCTAGACGGGAAACAAAATCTTCATAAGGCTCTTCAGCTTTCTGTTTGATGTTAGATATAGCAGGAGTATGAACACCCTTCTCTGGGGGAATAGCCCTCCATGCTTCTAAGGCAGCTCTAGTGGTTTGTTGGAGAGTCATAGTGTCTAGCTCCATTTGTGCTCTGGCCGTATCATAATCTCCTGTCCCTGCTAGCATGTCTTTAGTTATACCTTTCATACCTCGTTTCCTATTCTCTCTGGCCTGCTTATCCGTGAGATCTTCAAATTCTGATTTCCATAACAAGTATTGCCCTCCAGAAAGACATGCTCGGGCCACAGTCTTCCAGTCATAAGGTGTCATCCATTTTGAGGCCATATTCTCTAACAGAGCTTGAGTATAAGGAGCTTGTGGACCATATTGAGCACATGCCTGCTTTAATTCTTTTAACAATTTCAGGGGCAGCGGTTCCCACATGGGGGGATCATCATCAAATTCTTGTAGGGCTAGGGGAAAACACATTAAATCTGAATGGGATCCTTCGGGGTCCACCCATCTGGTCTTTCTGATAGGAGTCCTAGTTGAATATGATGGAAGAGGAACGGGTGGCATAGGAGCTCCAAATGTCCCTGATAGNTTGCAAGAAAGAGTTGTTCTGGGCTGGCACCAGGTCCGGCAACTGTCTGGGCTTGACGAGTGAGATTCTTGATCTGTCCCCAAGTTGGGGTGGGAGAATCTAGAGTTTTTTTATTACTTACTTTATATTTAATTTTTTCTTTTTGTGGTGGTGGGGATTTTTCCCCTTCATTGTCGGCCTGCCTGCCCACAAGAAAAACAGCCTCCATAGTTCAGTAGCTCCCTGGGCTGCATGCCACCTCCTGGCCTAACCAGCTTTGTCAGTCTCTGTAATGTCTGACCCATTGTTGTCCCCTGATAGAGGGGGTCTAACAGGCGGGGGATCTGGATCATCTGCTGGACGAATAATTGTCTTTTTAGGCAATTTGGCCCTTATAGGCTTTTTCTCAGGTCTCAAGGGTGGAATCAAATATTGAGGGGCTACTTTTCCCACCGGGGACCAGCCACCATCATCACGATGATATCTGGCTGCCTCTTCTTCCAACTCAGCCTGATCTCTAGGATCAAGAACATCATCATCCGAATCATCATCATACCTATGTACAGCCATAGAGGCCAACATTTGTCTTAATGAGCGATAATCAGAAGAACTAGGACTTATTTTGGGCCCTTCAAATGTGTTTTCTCTATTCTTGTCTGTCACCGGATCTTCTCCGTCTGAATCAGGGCTCTTGGTCTCTCGTCTAAACTTTTCACCCTCATGCTCAGTGTCTAGGGCATCTCTAATAAGATTCCATAGAGAAAATGTGTCAGCAGGGACTCTATCTGGCCCAACATTATCATAATGCCTCCCAATGTCTCTGCCAACTCGTTCCGAAATTCTCAGATTAACAGTGCCCTCATCAGGGAACCAGGGACACTGCTCTTGAACAAAGGAGAAGAAAGTAGAAAGGCTACTCTTTTTCACATGAATCCCTCTATGAGAGAGCATCTGTTTTACAATATCAATGAAGAGGCGTCTATCTTTTGACTCACTGTTTCCCATTTTGTTTTCACAATTATTCTGCTTTTTTCTTTTTCTTTTTCCTTTTTCTTTTTCCTTTTTCTTGTTCCTTTTTCTTTTTCCTTTTTCTTTTTTTTTTTTTCTTTTTTCTCTTTTTTTTTTTTTTTTTTTTTTTTTATTAGTTGGAGGCTAATTACTTTACATCATTACAGTAGTTTTTGTTATACATTGATATGAATTAGCCATGGATTTACATGTANCAATTATAATCTGTTTCATTTACCTTTAAGGGTGTTACACAAATCCACTTGTAATCTGCATGACAGGATAAAGCCAACTTCGTTTTTAAAGCCTGTAATTCAGTTCCTATATGCATTACTGCCTCTTCCAAAGCATTTACTTTCATTTCTAGTTTTCTATCTATAGCTTCTTGAGTTGCTAGCGTTAAGGAAACATTTTTTGACAAATCATTAACATGAGCGGCTGTGTGAACCTGATGTGCAAGAGAAACAGAGGCTAATATAGCAGAAGATATGGCCATAATTAAGGCAGATATTCCTAAAACTAACAATCCTGCAAACCTTTTAATTCTCATTAACTCTTTAACATGTTGTAATACAGCTAAGCCATAATTATCATACCAATATGTTGTCAAATTAACAGGTACCATGAGATAGGGAGGTCGTTTTAAAATTATAAAAGCAGAAACATTAAACCTAGGGCTCAGACAGCTAGAAAGGAAGCAGGTATCACAATCAACAATGGTAGGTCCTCCAGTTTGATTAAGATATATCTGTAACTCATTTGAATCATTAACAAACAGGAAAACATATGGAGAAGGAAGGCAAGCCAAAACAACCTTTTCTAAGGTTGAATTAGGTCGTTTTAAAGTTACATTGGAAGTTGCAGCTACTGCTCTCCATAGCTCTGGCTGCCAAAAGGTCTTTGAATTTTGCTGATAAGCAACCATGGGGGGAACTAGGGCGTTGTGATGCCATCTACTGACTGAAAGAGGCCAAGGTACAGTAGAGTTTTCCCAATTTACATACTCATCTGTATAATTTTTTACTGTTTTTAAATCGTTTTTTGGATTTGGATTACTCCAATCTTGAATGGATATTGTATTTGAATTCCCCATTTTATAGGCTAACATAGAATCATAAATACACTCTCTCCACTGAGGGTATCCTATCTGATAATTTACTCCACCCCAGCTGTCATCTGAAGGTGGGTCTGATGAGCATCGTTCATAAGTGTCATCAAAGGGGAGAGAATGATTAAACCTTGCAAATTGTGTTTGGATCTCATCTGAGATTCCAGGCATTTGTCCCAATAAAACCCAAACAAATCTTTTTGATCCCTTTTTTCCTTTATTAAGTGGGGAATCTGTAATAATGGCCTTTTTTGATGTCTGGACACATCCCTCTTTGGTTGGGGTAATAAGGCCTCGAGTTCCCTCAAGGGGAAAATTAAAGCAAATTGGGATTCCTTCAACTAATCCGTGGAAAGAGAAATTTAGATTTATAGGATAACTTTTTAAAGAATGAGATGTCCAACTCCCTCCTAGCAACCGAGGTGCATTAGTTGTCACCCGAAGGGGTGACTCTGTCCAAGGGACAACCTGCAGAGTTGGAGGATCAGGGAAATAGGCCCAATAAATTCCGCTCTCTGATTGAGAGGAAAAGGGAGTAACCATACTTACCTGGCAACTCAGGATAGCAAGGATTGCAAGAAAGAGTTGTTCTGGGCTGGCACCAGGTCCGGCAACTGTCCAGGCTCGATGAGTGAGGTTCTTGATCTGTCCCCAAGTTGGAGTGGAAGAATCTAGAGTGTTTTTTTACTTACTTTATATTTAATTTTTTCTTTTTGTGGTGGTGGGGGTTTTTCCCCTTCATATAGGGAGCTTGTGGACCATATTGAGCACATGCCTGCTTCAATTCTTTTAACAATTTTAGGGGCAGCGGTTCCCACATGGGGGGATCATCATCAAATTCTTGTAGGGCTAGGGGAAAACACATTAAATCTGAGTGGGATCCTTCGGGGTCTACCCATCTGGTCTTTCTGATAGGAGTCCTAGTTGAATATGATTCCCCAAGGTCTCCAGTGTGACCAGTGCTGGGTAGAATTAAGGGGTTGTAATCTTAACTCATTGCTGGTTTGCCCACCATGGATGGGAATAGATACCATGATGTAAGCTCATCCTACCTAGTACTGTCGCAACCTGAGATACAGGCATCCCCGTATCAGGGTGCAGATCCCCAGGCAGGCTGAGGCATGACAGCCTCCTAGAGATCGAATCCCCAGGCAGGTCGAGGTGTGACGGCCTCCTGAGAATTGGGCCCCTGGGCAGGTCGAGGCATGACAACCTCCTGGGACCCCTGGGACTGGAGGATCCCCAAGCAGGTTGAGGCATGACAACCTTTCAAGGACCAGATCCCTAGGCAGGTCAAGGCGTGATGACCTCCTGGGACCCCCGGACTGGAGTTCGGCGTCCCAAAGATCTCCAGTGTGACCAGTGCTAGGTAGGATTAGGGGATACAGGATTTCCCTCCCAAGGCCAGCTATTTTCTGGCTGTCCCTCTAGAAGACTGTAGAGGCAACACTGTGGGCCCGGATGGGGCTGAGGAAAGGAGCAGGAAACAGGAGGGAAGGGGGCAGAGCACAACCTTTGAAAGATGACACAGCACAAGGGCATAACGTGAACCAATTAAAATCAACTGGGTCCAAGATGACAAGTCAGATTCAAGTAAACCTTAATTCCCAATCTGTAAGCCAAAAGACACACCCAGAGTTGGCAGAACAGCTCTAAGGCACTGTCAAAAGGGGGAGGAGTGGGTGGTTCCCCACTGGGATGATCCTCCCACTCATTAGCACATGAATTGACCCCACTGGCAAAACCTAACCAGGCAGCATTCCTAACCCTTGGCAATGGCCCACACCCTGAAGCATGTGCTTCTCTCTGAATTCTAACAAGTCCACCTCTTACTTAATTTTTGGCTGGGCTCTAGTCCCGGGAGAGAGCTGAAGGACAGGAGCAAAAAGCAGTGGGAAAAACGTGCCAAGGAATCCCCTTCATAGCCTGCCGGAAAATTTGCTAAACATCTGACTGGTGCTCACAGTTTTCATTGGCCTGATCCTTGGCACAGAGAAGAGTAAGGACAGAAGAACCCCCACCAGCTTGGGTAACAGCTACTGGGGCCCAGCAGATAGTGCCTTTGGGACATACCTAAGAGTAGCTTCTCCAGAGTCCCTCAGTTGCGCCCACTGCTGCCCGCCTGTTCGCGGGGGGTTCAAGGAGATGAGAGTGAGAGATTGTAAAGGAATTAATATCTTGCTAGGCATGTCCCTCCAGCCATAGGAGCAAGGACCTCCTACCTTAACTGGAGGTGTTCTGGAATCTCAGACTGAGCCGTGTGAGCGTTCTGCTGTGTTTGTTTTCCAGTGTCCCAGTTTCCAGCATGATGGGCCTCTTGTCACTTCCCTTGCTCTAGGTTTTCTTCATTTCGCTTCTATCGCGGAGCTTGACTGAGTTGGGCTCATGCTGTGCTTGGCCTCTTCTGAGGGGGGCTTGTTTCAGCCAGGTTAAACCCGAGTCACGGCCCCATAGATGTCAGGCGAGTGTGTGCTCCTCGGCTCTTGTCTCGTCCCACCAAGGATTTGGAGTGGCGGACATTAAAGCCCCCTCAGTGGGTCACAGATCTCGGGTCTTGGACAGACCATGTTATAGCTCTCAGGTCTCGAATGGACCGTGTCATAGCTCTTAGACAATCAGTGTTACAGCTCTATTTTATTTAGAAGATAGCAGGCCAATCCATCTTTGAGGCGTGAAGGCACGTCGGAGGGGTGCTGTTCTACCTGAAGTCCTCACTCCGGTCCTCGGACCTTCCTTTGACCTTCTTCTGTTCTATTTTCATGGGCTTTTCCCTTCCTTGTCTTTTCTTCCCTTGCCATTTTGGACTCCTTTTCCCTATTCTAACTACCTAACAGTTTGAAAGATACCCTGAATTATAAAGGGCACTGCACCTGGAGTCAGAAAATTTAGGTTCAAGACCTGGCTCTGTCTTGTAATATCTACCTCCCTTAAGACAAGTCCCTTAATGGCTCTGGGCTTCATTTGGATCATCTACAAATGAGGCTAAGAAGAGCCTGCTACAGAGTTGTTGCAAGGATCAAATGCAATAATGCATAGTAAAAATTATATGGTGCTATTTTATTGGTATCACTGTACAGAAGAATTTGTAATTTATAAAAGCTATGAATCAGTTTGTAAGGATATGCATCAGAAAGTAAAGTTTAATAAATGGATCTATAAATACAGGGTAGAGAGCATAGATGTGGGTTTGAAAACAGATTCTACTAATTTGCTCTGTGACCTGAGAAATCACATCAATAAAATGGAGATAATAATAGCTATTCCAAAAGGTTTTTGCAAGAATTAAAATTAGACAATATATCAGTCAAAATAGGCTCAGTTATGCTGTGGCTTCAAGCAGTAAAGGTTCATTGCTATTTCCCAATCATAATATGTACTCACTGTGTTCACTGCAGATGACTATGCCATAGCAGGGATCTGCCCTACAATGTCCAGATGGATTGAGCAGCCACAATCTGGAATGTTATCAGCTGCCTAGGTAGAAGGAAAGAGAGTCTTACACCAGAATGAAAATGATACACATCATTCCACTTTCAGCCCCTTGGCCAGAACTAGTCAGATAACCCCACTAACCCCAAATTGGTCAGAAACTATAGTTCTCCCTGAGATACTGCAGACAAACTGAACAGTGAGTGGACAGCATAATGTATTCTACAGACAGTAGCATACATGATAACCCTTGACCCACTGAAATATTCCTCCCTGTCTTTTAGATATGAAGGAATAAGATGATTTCAATCAAAAAGCTTCAATTTATTGGCCTGGCATACATTGTGTGACAGTTTCCTTTTGCAGTTTTATGAATTTGAAGGGAGGGGAAATGGACTACTAGCTTAAAAATGGACCCCAGAATTTCTTTAGAAAAAAAAGTGTATTTTATTTAACATAA